CATTTTTTTTACAATAAGTTCACTTGTGTGATATATTACTATGACACTTACGTTACAAATTCTAGTCAGATATTGTTATAAATAAAATTTAGGGCAAGCGATTGAAAGTTTAGATACATATTTATGTTTACATACTTAAATGCGATATCTTTATTTTAGTTAGATAAACTTGTTTTCCTCCGGTATATCAGCAGACTGAATTGGAATTGGAATTAGTCTGAAGTATTGCGTTAGAAAGATATAGTACTGAAATATTATTACTTGACGTTATATCCGTAATTGCAACTCGTATATTTCAATGAAGCAAATATATTTTACAGGACATGTAACCATCATTATTGTTTTGATTTCTTTACATATATTCCAGTAATGTCAAAATGTAATTATTCTCGTTTTATCAAAATTTATCGACCCACATATGTTCATGCACGCATACGTATATGGAGTGTCTGACGCAAGATGTACCAATGTCCTTAACTATTATATGGCTATCAATGTTATTATCAACGTGGAGTTCTCGGCTGAATGCTCAGGAGCGTTAGTATTCCAAATTTTACGTAGTTGTTTCGAAAACGTATCGATCCTATTACTTATCTTGATCCATTTTAACGATATAATAATGTTGGTACGGATGCTATCACACAACTTGTATATTTATTAAATATATTGTAAATCTTCTCTTTATTTCTTTTTTTTCGATTTAACTGAAAAGTTTAATTTAGGTTATGATTTTCTTGAGTGTTGCGTGTGTTTTGTAAATTATATTTGGCAGATATGTTTGAAACGATAATGGATATGGTACGTTTAAAGCAAATATTGTATTCTGCTTTGACATTTAACATCGCTATGGCTATGTTATTTATGTGCATTTTAACCGAATCGGATAATGGAAATTGTGAAGACACTTCACTAATGAGAATTTATCGGTTAGGATAATAAAGCTAATACATTATAAATTTAAGTTGACCTTACATCCAACGCATTTGGAATCCCAACCATTTGACAGCGAATCTGATATTATGGTTTACCTTCACGAAGAAATTGAGAAATTAAGCTTGCATTGTTTTGGACGATATATAAATACATCAATCATATCGTTACATCTGTTATATTATGTAACAAATCAGAGTAGATATATTGCATCATCTTATCATTTTGGTACAAAAACATAGGTTCTCGGCATGATTTTTGGAGAGACAATAATTTCTGTTTTATATAAGCTACGTATAGAATTATGAGGAGTATCCGAAATAAATAAAAACATTATTAAATATCAATATGTAACGAATGCAGACACTAGGGAAACTAGAATTAAATAATTGAATTTTGTATTATAGTACATGTACTAATATTTTGTAAAACAAATTTCTTCGCATATCCTGTAACTTATAATATTATAATTTTTATGGGTCACGAAATTTTTACTATGTAGTTTGCAAAATGATTAAACATATGAAAGTTGGCAAGTCACCAAAATTTTAAATTATTAACGACAGACATACGTAACAATTTTATTAAAAATAACATAAAAAATATTAAATATTGGTTATAATTAAATATTATAAAAATGTATAATAATTTATGATAATATAATACATAATATAATTTATAATATTATTGGTAACATAATTTAGTAAGCCTTTCAAAGTGTAGGGTCTCTTAATTTGGCAATTTTGTAAGCTCCCAACTTTATTATGTCTGAACTGTTTCCCAGTTAACTGTGTATAAATAAAACTAAACCACGTATACATATACACACATTTTGTCTTCCTCTGACTTCCTTTGGAATAATATTGAAAATATTATTCGAATCAAAACATATATAATATTGTGTTGTGTCCAAAAGAAATATAGTAAC